TGCAGTGGGAAGGGGTGTGCAGTGGGAAGGGGTTGCAGTGGGAAGGGGTATGCAGTGGGAAGGGTGTACAGTGGGAAGGGGTTGCAGTGAGAAGGGTGTGCAGTGGGAAGGGGTTGCAGTGGGAGGGGTTGCAGTGAGAAGGGTGTGCAGTGGGAAGGGTGTGCAGTGGGAAGGGGTTGCAGTGGGAAGGGTGTGCAGAGGGAAGGGTGTGCAGTGGGAAGGGTGTACAGAGGGAAGGGGTTGCAGTGGGAAGGGTGTACAGGGGGAAGGGGTGTGCAGTGGGAAGGGGGTGCAGTGGGAAGGGGTTGCAGTGGGAGGGGTTGCAGTGAGAAGGGTGTACAGTGGGAGGGGTTGCAGTGAGAAGGGTGTGCAGTGGGAAGGGGTTGCAGTGGGAGGGGTTGCAGTGAGAAGGGTGTGCAGTGGGAAGGGGTTGCATGGGAGGGGAGGGGAGTGGCAGCCTGCTGACCTCCCGCGGTCTCTCCCTCTGTGGTAGCGGCTCTGAGGCTCAAAAGACATTGCTCTATCCATTTTGAGGAAGGGACGGCACCAACCCACAGGGTTGTCGGCGCCAAGCAGAGGGTACCTAGCAGGAGCCTGGGATCAGATCTCCAGCAAGAGCCCTGGGGCAGGTTTCCTGTTCCTCTGTATCCTCATCTGAAGAGTTGTTCTCCTTGTCCTGGGACTGTGTGCCCAAGGCCACCAGCCTGGCTAACCCCATTTGTGTCTTTCAGAGCCCAGCAAGCTCAGGGCACAGAGACCAGAGTTGGAGCCACTGGAAGGGTCAGACACCAAGGTGGGTCCTCAGCCACTCACTCAAGGTGGCCCTGGCAGATGCCCAGGCAGGAGAGGGGGTGTTCGTTGTCCTGAATGTGTCTCCTGCTCAGGTGGCCCTGACCTCTGAGGCAAGTGCAGAGCCAGGCATGCCAGGACAGGGGCATGCTGAGGACCACCACGAAGGCCCACAACAGAAGAGGAGGCGGACCTCAGATCTTCAGGACAAAGGTACCCCATCTCCTGCAAGGGCAAATAGGACGAGGAATGTATGTGGTGGGTGCCTCTCCTAGACACTTGGTGCATGGTATCTGGGGACCAGCTAAAGCCCTGAGCCTCCCCAGCAAAGGCCTCTGCGAAACCTGACCAAATGACCTCCTGGCAGTACTCCTGGACCTTTTAGCAAGTGGACTGACACCAGAGCTCCATAAAACTTGAATGGGACAAGAGTGGAGCTGATCAGGGCTGGAGGTGATCAGCTGGTAGAAGGCTTGCCTAGCATACATAAGGCCCTGGTTTCTATCCCCAATACTTAAAAAAAAAAAAAAAAAGACATTTTCCACAGGGAGCAATATTTAGTTGTTTTGTTTTGTTTTGTTTTGTTTTTTTGCTCTGAGACAGGGTTTCATTAAATAGTCCCAACTGGCCCGGAACTGGCCCGGAACTTACTCTGTAGACCAGAAAGGACTCAAACTCACAGAGATTGTCCTGCCTCTGCCTCCCAAGTGCTGAGATTAAAAGCATGCACCACCACACCCAACCTTAGGGAATGATGTAAATCACATTGTCATCTCCAGCTACATAGTAAGTTCAAGGCCCATCTATGCTATTATGAGCCCTTGTCTCAAAAAGGAAAAGAAAAAAAAAAAAAAAAAGAGCAGGGCTGAGGTCATTCGTTACTGCCCACCCATAGGCATCGCCTTGGGATTGGCATTCTTGGACCCTCTGCACACATTTTGGCAGCCACATCTGCCAGCCCTGTCTTCCTTTGGGGTTAGGGTTGCTCACGTGTTTGCCCAGGGCGGTGCCTTTGAGCTCGGCTTTCCCCAGATAAGATAGCAGGCATCTCAGCCTGGTCCCAGGCATGAGACACTTCCTGCTCCAGTGCACAATGGTGAGTCTTTGAACACCTAAGCTAATATGCCTGTAGCCTATGTTTGTCCAGGCTACAGCTCAGCAGGCTAGGCTGGGAGGCTGGGGCCACCACAATAAGCCATTGTTACCAGAAAGGGACTGACTGCAGCCTGTATTTGCTCCAAGTGGAGGCCAGGGTGCCTGTGTCATTTCCAAGCACTGCTTGTTGTGTGCACATGGAGTTGGGTGTGGCCCACTGGGTTCCCAGTGTGTCACCTTCCACCTTTCACACTGAGCAAGCCAGCCCCCAACCCCCACCCCCGCTTATCCTCCCAGGTAGAACTGGGCAAGGGACGGTTGGCACCAGGCTGTCTGTGAGTGGCACTCCTCCATTCCAAGACACTGCCTGTAGTCAGTGAGAACAGGGACTTGTCTTGTTAAGCACCATGGTCCCATTTTACCTAGCAGGGTGTTACTTGTCCCAGCATTATCTTGAGCCATGAAGAGTGGGAAGGGTGTGCAGTTGTCTCTGCCTTGGGTCTACAACTCTACCCGGCATACAGAATTGGCACTGTCTGGCAGGTGGGGAAACTGAGGCTGGATGAGTTAATTGGCCCAAAGCCACAGGTTTGCTGTGTAGACCCAGCATCTCAGAAGGTCCTGGGTGTGGCCTGGCCAGAACCAGATGCCCCTCCCTTGTATTCACAGCCCCAGCCACTCTGTGGCAGTGAGAGAGACTATGGGGTTAGGCTCTGTGAGAGGAATGGCCCTTTTGCCATACTCTAGTGGTTCTCCTCCCATGCGCCAGCCATTCATCATCTTCTTAGGAACAAGAGTGGCCAACTGACTTCACAGAGTTGAGCTTTCCTGAGCCTAGAAGTTGAAAGCCAGAGAAACATCTAGGGAGGACACACAAGACCCAGGGCTGCTGCCATGCCTCATCTAACTTCGTATTTCCCACAGCCCCCAAGAAGCCACCTCAAGGAAGGAAGAAACTGAAGGAGTCTCTGACACCAGCAGATGGGAGTCCAAGGGACACAGAGGACTTCAGCCTCTCCCCAGTTAACAGCTGCCAGGAGTCCTAACCCACCAGACTAAGGGACATTTGCCCAGAGGTGGCTTTCTGTCACAGACTATTGCTTGCACCGGTCAAACCACCCAACCTGAAGATAGCCTGGAACAGTCAGTGCACCCAGGCTCTTCCTACTTCTAGAGGGCTTGATGAGGCTCATCCACTCCCAGGTCTCTGGGCAGCTCCACCCCCTCCCAACCCTACCTGGAGGCAGGGCCGGGAATAGGAGGAGCCTCAGTCCAGCCCCCACCTCCTGCTTTTTCTAGGCAACGCCCCACCTCCAAGTGCAAGTGGGGGTCATCTACCCTGCAGACTTTTCCAGGCCAGGAAGGAAGCTTCGGGCAGCGGTCTCAGGCGCCCTCTTGTGGAGTCTGAGCAAATGCAGCCAACAAAACGGAAAAGGGGAGACAATGCCTGGTTAGACGTGACCTCCAAAGACCTCAGGGAAGAATATGCATGATATTATTATATGCAGCTGGCAGGGCTGAGGGCAACGGCATGACCCCTTTAGGCAGGTGATCGAGGATTAAGTGGATCCAAGTGCAGGAAGGCAGAGCCCTATGTTCTGAAGAGCCCCTGCACACTGACAACCAGTGCTGGTGAGGTGGATGTCTCAGTGTCTTTGAGCTTAATCAGTCCTGAGCCACTGGATCATGTGGGCATTGAAGATATTCCGGGACCTGTGTGTACGAAGTTTAATAACTGCCACTCCCAGAACAAAGACAGGCACTGTGGGCAAAGGGGTAAAAGCACCAAGTCAGGGTCCAGTGTGGGGAGAGACAAGGAAGAGAGAAGGTGTCTTGGGGAGGCCAAGGAAGGTGGCATCTAAAACTTCAGTTTGGATTTTGAGGGATGAATAGGAGTACGCCAAGTAGGCAAAGGTCCTAGCATGCTTTTTTGTTTATTTTGTTTTGTTTGTTTGGTTTTTCTTTCTTTTTCTTTTTTCCTTTTTTTAGTTTTTCGAGACAGGGTTTCTTTATGTAGCTTTGGAGCCTATCTTGGCACTCGCTCTGTAGACCAGACTGGCCTCGAACTCACAGAGATCCACCTACCTCTGCCTCCCAAGTGCTGGGATTAAAGGCGTGCGCCACCACTGCTGGGGTCTAGCTTGCTTTTATAAGTGTCTAGAGGTCAGATTGAAGGCCAAGCAGAACTCACTTGACCATAACTGAGTGAGGAAGGCCCGAGCTGACCAAGCCACATAGAAGGGACTACAGCATAAAAGGGTGCTGTAGAGTCAGAGTTTCGATTGTGAGAGTCTGAAACCTCTGGAACTGGAGAAGCTGTTGCTGGGGCTAGGTAAGGCCTGGGCTTGATGAAAGGGTACCATTCTCTACTGGACAGACAGTGGCCCCTCTGCCTGCCACCTGAGAGGGCAGAGGGACTAAGTTCCAAGGGATATCCCAGGGGAAGGGTGTGCATGTGTGCATTCGTAGGTGTGTGTGTGTGTGTGTGTGTGTGTGTGTGTGTGTGTGTTCAAATGGTTGTTACAGGTTTCTTGAGTTCTTTTTATTTTTCAAAATTAAATAAAACACAAGCTGTATGATCTATTTACTCTAACCTCTTGGTCAGGTTTGGTCTGTGAGGGAACACACCCCAACACCACACCCAGGAAGAAGCCAAATTCCTGCCTAAATATCCCTTACGCACCTCAAGGATCCCACAATGCCTGCCAGCATTGGGGTCCAACTCTAGGTCTAGCTCTGCATCTGTGGCACCCTGTTGAGGACACATATCTTTGCCATGTCCATTTGACAGTTAGCCACAAGTTTGTTGTCCCTCCCCCATCGAGGACTGTGCACATTAGCAACAAGGACCCCACGCCACCATACCACAGGCCCAACACTACAGTGTCTCACCCATCCCAAAGCAGCTTAGGCATACAAGTACATCATTGCTACTGGGGACCAAAACCCAAGTGAGTCACTCCCATGGTCACTTGCAGACAGTGGGGGCTAACAGCAGCCTGAGTGCCAAGGGCATCACACACATCAGACACAATGACCCCTTCAGTGTTTAGTCCTACCCTCTGACAGAAATGACAGTCTCGCCGAGCATTGGTGGCACACGCCTTTAATCCCAGCTCTCAGGAGGCAGAGGCAGGCGGATCTCTGTGAGTTCGAGGCCAGCCTGGTCTCCAGAGTGAGTGCCAGGACAGCCTCCAAAGCCACAGAGAAACCCTGTCTCGAAAAACCAAAAAAAAAGAAAAAAGAAAAAAAGAAAAGAAATGACAGTCTCTGGGAGGGAGCCCTGCGTTTTACTAGAAAAGAAAACTGCCCACCTTACCACTGGCTCCTGCCAGAGGCCAGCTTGGAAAAAGACAGGGAAGAAAAGGAGAGGGCAGGGTAAGTGTAGGGAGAGAGCTCTAGCTCGCCGTTAGTCCCAGCACTCGGGAGGCAGAGGCAGGTGGATCTCTGTAAGTTCGAGACCAGCCTGGTCTACAAGAACCAATTCCAGGACAGCCTCCAAAGCCACAGAGACTCGGGAGCCAGACGCAGGTGGATCTCTGTAAGTTCGAGACCAGCCTGGTCTACAAGAACCAATTCCAGGACAGCCTCCAAAGCCACAGAGAAACCCTGTGTCGACCTGCGGGCTGAGGCGAGGGGCGTTATCTCTCTCACCGGGTTGGGTCTGAGACTAACCTGGGTCATCGGTTTCTCATGTAAGTGATTTCCACTTAATAAATTACCCATCTATATCCATATCCGGTGTACGGTCATTTGCCTCTACAGGTAAGCCTACCCGTGTAGGGATCAATGGCGGGGGTGGGGTGAGGTGGGGCGGGGTCAGCCTGCCTGAGCCTTGAAAGCAGAGAGGGAACTAGCAGTAAGGACTCTTGTGGGTCACACCACTGATAGATTCTCCTCCAAGCAAAGAAGCCGCTTCCCAGGGTTCCCTGTCCATCAGCCAACTCCACCCCAGCACCGGGTGCAGTAGCCACGGGACCAGAGACCGGAACATAAGGGGGACTTTCCTCTAAAGACTAGGAGTCCACATCGGCTGGGAGCTGGAAAGAGCATACGGTGGCACAACGGGACGGACATACACACACGGTACATAGCCAAAAACTGCAGACTCAAGCCCTGGCCACCGGACCACGGAGGAAACTAAAGGCTGAGCGCCATGCAGACGCCAGGCAACCGGGAAAGTGCCAGCTGTCCTCGGACCGTAGACCGGTCTCCTCTGCAGACAGTGAGGGCGGTCAGGCGGGCCCGCTGGCACCGCCCGGAAGCTGAAGCTGCGGGCTCCGGTGGCTCCGTGGGTGGATGCCCGACCCAGAGGAACCTCTCGGCTCTTAAGAAACAGCCCGGAGGGCAAGTGGCCAGGCCTGGCCCACACCCCGAGTCCGCGGCCCACAATGACCGTTCTCTGCAGGATGCCCCGTACACTGCGTCTGGGCAAGAGAACAGGACACCGGCGCCTTGCAGCCACCGACCTTGCGGTTGAGGGTCCCGTGGCCCCGCGAAACTAACAATCGACAGATGTTAACCACCTCTAGGACCCGGGGGAGCGCCAGAGCAGGACACACCTCGCTAGCCAATGGAAGGGCTCAGCGAAGCTGCATTTGCATGCAGGCGCGCCGCGGCCAATGGGCAGGGAGAATGGAACTATATTTGCATATGGGCGCGCCCCGGCCAATGGGCGGGAGTGACGGGG